TTCTCCAAAAGTCTATGCCTAAAATAAGCCTTTGATTTATAGAAGGAATAATATAAATTTGCATATTCCTTTCCATATCTTTATAAGCCATTTTTACGTTTAGCATTCCTACGACATCGTGAGCTTTTCCATCAGCCGTTTTCACGTAAGATTTAATGTTTTTAAATTCTGGATACTGACTAAAATTTTCTTTAGCTAAGGTGGAACCTATACAGGAAATGTTGGCACCTGTATCTAGTAATCCGTGTTCTTCAAACTTCAATAATTTTACTTTTGCGTAACTTCGCATATCATCGTTATTGTGAATTATGGTAGCTACGACTAAATTTTTTCTTAATTTCACATTCCTATAGTAGTTTCGCATTCTACGTGTATTTCTTTTTGATATTCTTTTCTGTTCACCAAATATTCTTTTCTTTACATCTAGATAGTTTTTCAAACGCTCGTGATAAGCTAAGCAATGGTTCTTCAGAATCGTTGGTGGATTAATTTTTTCTATGCTTTCTGATCGACGAAGAATGTTTTTTATGTTGGTGTTTAAGGGAACTATTGGTTCTGGAGCACCTTGTTGTTCTGCTGAGATGCTCCTTTCTGGCGGTTTTCCGACTTACGGAAACAATTCTGACATTGCGGTTTGTACACATTTGGAAGACCACATCCGTAACAAAAGATGCGCCTTTCGCCAAGACAATTTTCCCATAAATGCCCTTCCTTATCACAATTCCAGCATCTGTTTCGAGATATTGGTTTTTGCATAGCAGCGATATCTCCGGTGCATTCGTCTACATTATGTTCTTCCTCACTCAGAGTTTCTTCAACTGTATAAACTTTATAAGAAGCTGGTTCTCTGCCCTTAGAGGGTATGACTCGAGATTTTCCTATTTCCCTAATAAAGTTTTCCCTTTTCTGAACTAACTTTCGAAGTTGTGCTATTGAAGATACATCTTCAAACAATAATCGATCTTTAATATCTGATAGTAAGTTTCCTTGCACTATCTCCACTTCTTCTCGTTCATCTAGATTCACAGTCATCCGATCCCTTAATTTACAAATAGCTTCGTAATAGGACTCAAAGGATTCGCCTACCTTTTGTTTTCGAGCACGAATTTGTTCTCGTATCTCGTTATTCGATCTACTTTCTTTATACTGGAACCGTATAGCTTTGCAAAAATCGTTCCAGTTATTCTCTGTTGTGGCTTTGTGGTATCGCCAGTACCAATCTTTGGCTTTTCCAACAAGCAAAGAATGAATGTTTTGATTTACTGCTTGAAAATTATTATTAAGATTCTGAGCAGTAAGAGTTTTAATTCGGTAAAGAAATTCTTCTACTGGTAATCCTAAAGCAGATCCATCGAAATGAATACCCCACTTTTGCATGATATCAGCAACCTTAGCTGCCGAAATAGTATGAGCAGTATTTTGAAACGATCGGTGATCCTCTTCATGACTATCCTGCCGAGAATTATGTTGTGACAATTGCTCTGCATTGACTTGACAATTTCCACTAGCTTGACCTCTATTCAGACTAGGTTGCTGAGGAAAGTCTTGATAAACTGGTGGATTAGGTGACTGTAATGCTCGTGCTACAGCTTGTTGTATCCACATCTCTAATTGGCCAAAGTCTAAACTATGACTCGTTGGATTCATATTTCTTTGTGTGTGTGAGCGGTTGTTGCCTTTTCTAGGTCTTCCCGGGGGGTTATTTCGAGCGCCACCTCTAGGAGGATGTTCGGCTCTATTAGTACTATGACTGGTATCTAATGGTGGTAAATTTTCGATGCTTAAGTTTGTCGGTGGATTGGAACTTGCTGCTTTTCCCCTATTCAAATCTCTGGTAACTGATCGAGTGACAACTCTTACCGGTTCTGGAGCTTGTGCTTTTGCATTTGGAGAACAATTTCCAATCACTACTTTTAAATCTTGCGTGTGCACTACAGCAAAACAAGATGGGCAATCAGCATGTGATAGTAATCGGTTTTCAATGCAAGACTTGTGGTATATATGTTTACATAATGTTATTGAACAAGTTTGTGTGTCCGACATTACTTCACTGCAAACTAGACAAATATTATCCTCTTCATTAGAGGGTTGATTTCCAAAACTATGTTGTAAAACCATTTTAAATTGTATAAACTTTCTTAGACATTTTTGGGGCAAAACTAAATTAAGAAGGGTTTCCTATTTCTTCCAAACAATTCAATTGAAGACATCTGTATATAATGGGCTATTGATTTTAAAGTGAATTTAATGTTAATCGATTACCTGAAATTTGAAAAATGTATGTTAACGGATGCACATACCTTTGCTGATATGCTACATAATTCCAGTTAAATACGTCTTAACAATTTTCTTTAATGGAATTACATCGTACTAACAATCAATTTAATAAAGCCAGGTGATTTATTTGCAAGAGTAACACATAGGCCTCGATCGTGCACCGATATTAAGGTCGAAAAGATTCAAATGCCTAAATCTTCGATTTCCAAAAAACGTATCCGAACTGCGACTCTATCTTGTCCTCTCCACTAAATAAAAGCTTGCCTTATCAGAAATAAAAGAGCTGGATTCATTAATTATTGTTGCAGTTTATTATTTCTTTGGGTTAACTTGAAACGCTAAGACGAGTCGGTCAAATCCTCAAATAAAAACCAAAATTACAACAACTCTTAATGGCGGGATTTGTAAACCAAAACATCACCAAATGGATGAGTGTTTTTTCGTCTACATGCCCCACGTTGGGCGCCAAAAATTTGTAGCGTGTTGCATGGTCTGTGTTATACGACAACATATTGTTAGTTTTCGACTGATCAGCGGCGGCGGGACCCATAAAACGGTAGCTCATTCCGGGTGGGGTAGGTTCTTGCTGACGTCTAAACTTGACACTACGAACTTTAAATTTAAGAGTCCCTCAACAAAACAATAAGCCTACTCATAGGCGAAAAAGGTGGAATCAAAATCAAATTTATTCTATGGATGTATGTGTAGGGTCTTCAACGAACGGTAAGGCGGTGGCGTTGATGGTGGATGCCACATGTATTCTTAACCCTCCCAACCATGTCTCTCCCTAACTGGGGAAACCCAAATGTTAATGTCCCTTCTCTTTATTTAATTTATACCCCCATGTCTAAAATAAAACTTAGAAATTCATCGTTAATTTCATACTATAAAGTTTGTTATATTCCTTTTCATCATATTTTTTTTTTTAATTCATTTTTTTCTAAACATCCATTATTACAATTCAAGCATTCTGTTTCTATTCATAGGATCTAATCATTTCCAAATTAATATGTCTTATTAAAGTTTTAAATTGTCAAATAATATGGTTATATCTACATGTTGGCTTTTAATTAATTATCATAAAAATTAAGAATTAAATTTTAAATTTTCAAATAATATTTTTATCTCTACATGTTGGCTTTTAACTAATTAAAATAAAAATTAAGATCTAAGTTTTAAATTGTATGAATTAATTGTACATCTTTGTTGTTTTAGTGTATGTTGTTTATCTTCATTGTTTTTCTTTTTACTCTATTTGAACCTTTTTCTTTTATACTCACAATCACATCAACAGGCCGTGTTTTATTTAATTCATAATTAATTTCAAACTATGCGAGAACAGTCAATCATATATATTTGCTATCGGCCAAACCAATGTACACGAGCTTCCATTATCTCTCAACGAAACTGGATAATCAAAACAAAAGCTGCGCTTACGGCTGCATTTAAAATCTTATATATGTTTTTTTTTTTTTTTCACGACTTAAACGGTCACAATTAAATTGATTTGGATTATCACTTTGCACAAAATATTAGTTGTTTAATTTGCATGTTCATTGGTTTGCTCGATCACTTCCACTTTTTAATATGTTGCCGAATAAAAACTCACCCACTCTTGTTGCTTGATGAAGGCCTTCATGTTGCAGAGGAGATGGTTAAAAAGCTGTGGGCTTAGAAGCTTTCAAATTATATGATTAGGGTTCTCCATAAGAGGTACACTTAGAGAAAGGTTGATCGGCGTGTTGTGATGGCGGATTTAAATTAATTAATTTTAGTATTTCATAATTATTTTTTTTTTTTTTTTTTTTTTGTTTTTTTTAGAATTTAGTTTTAAATTTTAATCTGTTTTGCCTCATTATTATAATTTTTTTTTTTTTTTTTTTTTTTATTATATATAGGTAATTAAGGATTTTATTATTTTAAGGTGTTTTTTGTATCGTTGTAATTTTTTTAACAATCCCACGTGGCCAGTTTTTCTGCTACATTTTTGCTTTTGTTGCTTTTCTCTCCTGGATCCCTACAGGCTTTTCCTTTTTCGATGGCAAGAACGTTGTTGCGAGGAACTAAAGAATTTTTCTCAGTGAAAAGAGTATAAGCGACAGGTTATGGTAGGACTTACGTAAGTCGATTTTTCGGATCTGCCCAAAAACAAGGGTTTGCAACACAGGTTGGCAAAAAGAATTTGGCTACGGCCACGATCAGGAGAATTGTTGGTATTGGTTGATCCAGTGGCTATTAGAGGGGCAAAGGTTAGAATTTATGTTTTCTAAAATTTGCACAAAATATTTACCGTACAGGTTTAATCAGCAGCCGAAAGGTAAAATAATGCTGACTGAATAGCGGAGCACTTTCCGTATCGCGAGATGCGATCAGATTTGAATGCCTGGACTTTGAACTTTAAAGTCCAATTTTTTTGGCAGCGTGCAAAAACTATAAATTGAGATAAGAGCGATTTCAACTGCTCGTAGGCACGACTTAAAACGGAAAGACCAATTTCTGGGCTTACGAGCTTTTTATCAGTTCTCAAGCCGACGAAGGGGTGCATTCAGATTAATCACTTTTTTGTCATTCACAGGTAGTTGTCAAAAAAGGTGAATAGTGGGTCCTACTATGGCGGGATATGACGAGATTTTAAAAATCTAAGTCAAAATAAAAAAACTTTTCTTTCCCAACGTTCGTATAGGAAAGAAAACATTTTTGCAACTAAGGCGACCATTACATACTTGTATTGAAAAATTATACTTGGATACTGTCGAGAGAGGCTGTAAATGAAACGAGCGTCTGACGTTGTTGAGTTGATAGTTCAAACTAAATTTATTTCCTAAAATCCTAGCCTTAAGTAGCTAACATGAAAATGGAAATTCCTTACCTCTAGACCCACGGATCGGTATATCTCCGACCGCAGGAAACCCTTTATGGTCTTTATGGTGACCACTCGCAGAAGGTCATATAATCCAGCAAGCGTTCTAGGTACCTAGCAGAGTTAGGTATGCACACATTTGCTAGAGTGCAGGACATCTGCATCCCAAACGCAACAATTTGGTGTTGTTTTATTGCTTCAAATTTGTGTGTTCTTTCTGAACAGATACAGTTTTAGGTACAGTTTTAATACACAACGCAGAATGTCTAACATGTGATCCTTGTTATCCTTGTGTCCAGCTGATTAGAGATGGACAAAATCGATGATTTCGTGACTATCGAATCCTTTAACCCACTGGCTTTTCAGTCATTCATTCGATATTTTTAGCGACTTCGGAGTCGCTAAATGACTGAAAATATCGTTAAAGCCGTTTGTATAGGAACAGCTGTTTTCAGTTTCCGATATTTTCAGTAATTCAGTCGTGGTAGTTATGTTTTTGTTCAACACATTTCTATCTACTCTGGGATATAATTTTTAAAAATGTATATTTTTTGTTGTACTGGAAAGACTATATAGTATAGAAGAGTATTGCTTTCAATAGATTTCATTATGTAATTTATCGTGTTTTCAAACCCTATTAATAGTACGATTTTTTACAGAATTTGGCAAAATGATTTTGATTGTTTGATTTATATTTATTTGTAAAAGACTTAAATATATTTTTAGATAAAATGAGTATTAGTTAAAATTAGATATGGTTTTAGATCGTAGGTTGAGACGCAGTGGCTTTTTCTGATTTTTTTTGTCGCTTATTTGAGATATGCATATTTATTTTTAATGGTTTTAGACCCTAGGAAGCAGTGGCTTTTCCGTTATGTTTTCTGTGCGGTTACAGCAAGTGATCCCAGACGAACGTATTAATTTTCTAGTTTATCCCTCCTGTGTGTTAACAGGTGTCTATAAAGACTAGAACTCTGGGAAAATGCCATCGAACAGTGGGAACACTTATGCGGTCGCTCTCCCGTATGAGTTAGATTGTGCCGTTGAACACCACTTGTTGAGGAAAAGGACTTCGAGCAGAGGGAGCACTTAAATGGTCTCTCCCCCGTGTGAGATCTGATGTGTTGCTTAAGTTGCTCTTTCGTTGAAAACGACTTTGAGCAGTGATTGCACGAATGCGGTCGCTCTCCCGTATGAGTTCGGATATGTGACTGAAGAGTGGTCTTAATAGCAAATGACATTGAGCATTGAGAGCACTTAAACGGTTTCTCGCCCGTGTGAGTTCGGATATGTATCTTAAGATGACAAGATTCTGTAAACTTCTTCGAGCAGTGGGAGCATTCATACCGTTTCTCTCCGCTTGATGTGTGACTTTAAAGAATTTCTATAGGAAAAGGACATCGAGCAGTGGGGACACTTATACGATCGCTCTCCCGTGTGCTTACGCGTATGTTCCTGAAGATGCCATTTTTTCTTAAACGCCTTTTGGCAGTAGGTACACTTGTGCGGTTTTTTAATCTCAGGAGAGCAAACATCCTGCCTGAGATTGGCTGTTAAGACTTTACGGTTCTTCAACTGGAGTATCTTCTGGTGGCTCTTCTCAATTGTTTGCCTTATCTCAAAGGCGGCTCGAGCACAGTGCAGGCAAGAATCGCATATGTTTTTGGGATAGCAATCTCCCTTAGAAATCTCGTAGGGAGTGCATTGAGTGATCATATCGGCGATGGAGATCCCTAGTCCTGGAGCGTCTTCGAATATGTTGATCATAGCAGGTGACGTTCCCAGGCAAGCGCGACAGATTTGACTAAAATTGAATGCAGAAAGTGGGTGTTTTACAAGGATATAGACACTGGTATATTTTGATTAACTTACATTTCCATGATTTGAATAGTGAGATTTTTTTTGTACTTGTATTAAAAGTTATACGTGGATATATACTTACAAACTTGGTACAGTTTTAATACACAACGCAGAATGTCTACCATATGATCACAATTTTTCGTCCTTGTGGATTAGAGGTGGTGAAAAATCGATGATTTGGCGACTATCGATTACATCTATTATACAAAAGAAAGGCTGGAATTCCCGCTGCCCGCTGTTTTTAAATTTTCCGCGCGATCACAATACGCAGGGAACTAGGGCTGGCAAAACATCGGAGCTAGATACTATCAATTTTGTTGCCCTACATTTTTATTTGATATTCTTAGATTTTTTCGCCTTGGTCACTCTGAACTTCAAAGTAAAATGTCAAAACAAGGTTTTACATACTTGGGGTCGAATTCTCGTTTTTGGGGTCGAATTCTCATGTAGAATGTCAAAGAAAAGAGAAGGAAAATACGCAGGGAACCTGTCCAGGGTTTGAAAACAACAATCACATCACTATCGATACTATCGATGTTTCGTCCGTAAAAACATCGAAAAATCGATATTCAAACCACGCCTGGTATTCGAACCACACCTGATGTTTAAACCACACCAGATTTTCGAATCACATCTAATATTTATAAATATTATAAATTATAAAAGAAAAAGAAAGAAAACAAGAAAGCCCGTGAGCTGTCAAGCCATCGATGGCACTATGGATGTAGCTTCTGCTCGTCACTTTTCTTTAAAAAAAAGGGAATTGGGTGGGAAAAAAAGCTAAGAAAAAAGCTGATTTATAAATAATAATTTTACGTTTGTTTGTTTTTTAATTATTAAATATAAAATATTAAATCAAATCAGTTATGCTGCATTTTCAATAAATGCACAGCACTCTGGTCAATTCCAGGGATCACAAATATGAGTTCGGAGTAAAATAAAAATCAATACAAATTTACAAATAATCGTTAAAAATTTGAAAATTCAAGTTGACGAATAAAATAAAAGTTAACTTTCAATACCTTTTAAGTTTATTTAAAAGCTGTCTAAGCTCTAAGATTTTAGAACTTTATATGGAATTTTAAACTTCAAAATCCCCTTATCTTGTAGAATATCAATAATATCTAGAATATCTATATTTTAAATATAAATGAACATGAATAATATGAATAATTAAGTATATCTATATTATCTCTTTTTCAGTGGCGCCTGAGAAGAATATGTATGCCTTTCAATCTAAATTTAATTCTAAAACAAACAAACAAACGCAGACAAAAATTGTATATATTTACACAATTGTTTTCAATAATTAAGTCTCCGAGTCGAAACAGTTTAATGCTTATTTTAGAAACTATAAAACAATGAAAGTATCTTAGATTTTAGTTTCATCACCGGAAAGAGAATTAAATAGAGAATTTAATCAATGTCTGCAAAGAGAGATAATATAAAGCTTAGATTCCTAGTATAATCGAGCAAAAACTCTCAAATTTTTAGTACTTAATGTTTGTTTAACCTTGCAACTTGAGCATATAAATAAAATTGAAATATTAATATAATAATAATCAGTATTCAGCCTTTGTGTTTTCTCCAGTTTATACGTGGATTTGAAACGAAAGTAGTAAACTTTTTCAAAAACATAAAAAAAAATATATATATAAATAAGAAAAGGAAATCAATAAATATTGTATCTGCATTGATCGAATATTTACAATCTGTGAATTTGCAAAAATAAATATCGCTGCTTATCAAAAAATGTTATAGCTGGAAGTGTGTTTCGTGTCGATCTTGAAGGGATCCGATGGAGTTGGGCAAGCAAAGCATACCAAAGTATTATTCTATTTTCGTCAGAATAAAAACAAATTGTTTATTCAAGTAAATTTATTTATTTGTGCATTAATGTTAGTTAACAATCTAGTTATTTATAAAATAAGAAAAGAAATTTAAATAGTTTGGGTATTTCGTGTGGATTGGGATGCGTTTGTTGAGGTCCTTAATACAGAAAAAAATTTTTGTGCAAGAAAGAAACTATTTAATGTGAGTTCGGATATGACCGTTAAGAGTATTTTTATGGGAAAATGACTTTGAGCAGTGGGAACACTTGTATGATCGCTTTTCCGTGTGAGTTCGGATGTGTACAGTAAGAGTATATCTTCGGGGAAATGATTTTGAGCAGTGGGGACACTTGTATGGTCGCTCTCCAGTGTGTGTTCGGATGTGTCTCTGCAGTTGAGATTGCCCGGAAAATGACTTTGGGCAGTGGGAACACTTGTATGGTCGCTCTCCAGTGTGAATTCGGATGTGTTCATTCAACATGCTTTTATGGGAAAACGACTTTGAGCAGAAGGAACACTTGTATGGTCGCTCTCCAGTGTGAACACGGATATGTGAATCAAGAGCAACTCTCTGGAAAAATGACTTTGAGCAGGTGGAACACTTGTATGGTCGCTCTCCAGTGTGAGTTCGGATGTGTGCGTCAAGAGTATTTTTATGGCTAAACGACTTTGAGCAGTGGGAACACTTGTATGGTCGCTCTCCAGTGTGAGTTCGGATGTGTCCGTTAAGAGTAGATCTTTGGGCAAATGATTTTGAGCAGTGGGGACACTTGTATGGTCGCTCTCCAGTGTGCGTTAGGATGTGTCTCTGCAGATGAACTGGCGCGGAAAATGACTTTAAGCAGTGAGAACACTTATGCGACTTCTCAGCCGTGTGAATTCGGATGTGTCTCTGCAGAATAAGTTGGCCGGGAAACGACTTTGAGCAGTGAGAACACTTGTATGGCCGCTCTTCAGGGTGAGTTCGGATATGTACATTAAGAGCACTTTTAAGGGAAAATGACTTTGAGCAGTGGGAGCACTTGTATGATCGCTCTTCCGTGTGAGTTCGGATGTGTGCGTCAAGAGTATTTTTATGGCTAAACGACTTTGAGCAGTGGGAACACTTGTATGGTCGCTCTCCAGTGTGAGTTCGGATGTGTGTTTTAAGATTAAATCTCGTGGAAAATGACTTTGAGCAGTGAGAACACTTGTATGGTCGATCTCTCGTGTGAGTTTCGATGTGTCTGTTCAGATGAATTTGCTCGAAAAACGACTTTACGCAGTGGGGACACTTGTATGGTCTCTCTCCAGTATGAAGCCTGATGTGTGCTTTTAAACTACTATTCTGGGAAAACGACTTTGTGCAGTGGGAACACTTGTATGGTCGCTCTCCAGTGTGAATCCTGATGTGTGGTTTTAAACTACTACTCTGGGAAAACGACTTTGAGCAGTGGGGACATATGTACTGTTTTTTCGTCTTGCTGAAGCCAACACCGTCATTTAAATTGACTGGTAGATTTTTGGTATTTTTCATCTGGAGGTAGATCTGGTGGCTCGTCTCAATTGTTTGCCGTATCTCAAAGGCGGATCGTGCACAGTGCAGGCAAGAATCGCAGATGTTTTCGGGAAAGCAATCTTCTTTAGAAATCTCGTAGGGAGTGCATTGAGTGATCATATCGGCGATGGAGATCCCTAGTCCTGGAGCGTTGTCGAATATGTTGATCATAGCAGGTGACGTTCCCAGGCAAGCGCGACAGATTTGACTAAAATTGAATGCAGAAAGTGGGTGTTTAACAAGGATATAGACACTGGTATATTTTGATTAACTTACACTTCCATGATTTGAATAGTGAGAATTTTTACTTGTATTGAAAAATTATACTTGGATACTGTCGAGAGAGGCTGTAAATGAAACGAGCGTCTGACGTTGTTGAGTTGATAGTTCAAACTAAATTTATTTCCTAAAATCCTAGCCTTAAGTAGCTAACATGAAAATGGAAATTCCTTACCTCTAGACCCACGGATCGGTATATCTCCGACCGCAGGAAACCCTTTATGGTCTTTATGGTGACCACTCGCAGAAGGTCATATAATCCAGCAAGCGTTCTAGGTACCTAGCAGAGTTAGGTATGCACACATTTGCTAGAGTGCAGGACATCTGCATCCCAATCGCAACAATTTGGTGCTGTTTTATTGTTTCATATTTGTGTGACCACTCGCAGGAGGTCAAATAATCCACCAAGCGTTCTAGGTACCTAGCTGAGCATACCTACATTTAGCATACATTTGCTAGAGTGCAGGACATCTGCATCCCAAACGCAACAATTTGGTGTTGTTTTATTGCTTCAAATTTGTGTGTTCTTTCTGAACAGATACAGTTTTAGGTACAGTTTTAATACACAACGCAGAATGTCTAACATGTGATCCTTGTTATCCTTGTGTCCAGCTGATTAGAGATGGACAAAATCGATGATTTCGTGACCATCGATAACAACATGGATGTTGTTTTCCAATATACTGGGTATTCTTTTTACGACAAACCGACTTACTAAAAATCTCGGCAAATGTATCGCCGATATTTCCAGCCGTAAAGCCACTACATTTTTATATAAAACCTGTCGCATAACATGAACCTTATCTTTTAAATTATTTTATACAATCTTTAATTATTTTATACAATTGGACTTTTAATTTAGCCATAAAAACCATAAAAACATAAACTTAAATTAAACGAATCCTTTAACCCACTGGCTTTTCAGTCAATTAGTCGATGTTTTTAGCGACTTAGGAGTCGCTAAATGACTGAAAATATCGTTAAAGCCGTTTGTATAGGAACAGCTGTTTTCAGTAATTCAGTCGTGGTAGCCATGTTTTTTTCAACACATTTCTATCTTCTCCGAGATATAATTTATGTAATTTACCGTGTTTTCAAACCCTATTAATAGTACGATTTTTTACAGAATTTGGCAAAATGATTTTGATTGTTTGATTTATATTTATTTGTAAAAGACTTAAATATATTTTTAGATAAAATGAGTATTAGTTAAAATTAGATATGGTTTTAGATCGTAGGTTGAGACGCAGTGGCTTTTTCTGATTTTTTTTGTCGCTTATTTGAGATATGCATATTTATTTTTAATGGTTTTAGACCCTAGGAAGCAGTGGCTTTTCCGTTATGTTTTCTGTGCGGTTACAGCAAGTGATCCCAGACGAACGTATTAATTTTCTAGTTTATCCCTCCTGTGTGTTAACAGGTGTCTATAAAGACTGGACTTCTGGGAAAACGACATCGAACAGTGGGAACACTTATGCGGTCGCTCTCCTGTATGAGTTAGATTGTGCCTTTGAACACCACCTGTTGAGGAAAAGGACTTCGAGCAGAGGGAGCACTTAAATGGTCTCTCCCCCGTGTGAGATCTGATGTGTTGCTTAAGTTGTTCTTTCGTTGAAAACGACTTCGAGCAGTGATTGCACGAATGCGGTCGCTCTCCCGTATGTGTTCGAGTGTGGGCCTTAAGACCATTTTTCTGGGCAAACGCCTGTGGACATTGGGGACACTTATACGGTCGCTCTCCAGTATGAGTTCGGATATGTGACTGAAGAGTGGTCTTAATAGCAAATGACATTGAGCATTGAGAGCACTTAAACGGTTTCTCGCCCGTGTGAGTTCGGATATGTATCTTAAGGTTACCAGAATCTGTAAACTTCTTCGAGCAGTGGGAGCATTCATACCGTTTCTCTCCAGTGTGCCGATTGATGTGTGACTTTAAAGAATTTCTATAGGAAAAGGACATCGAGCAGTGGGGACACTTATACGATCGCTCTCCCGTGTGCTTACGCGTATGTTCCTGAAGATGCCATTTTTTCTTAAACGCCTTTTGGCAGTAGGTACACTTGTGCGGTTTTTTAATCTCAGGAGAGCAAACATCCTGCCTGAGATTGGCTGTTAAGACTTTACGGTTCTTCAACTGGAGTATCTTCTGGTGGCTCTTCTCAATTGTTTGCCTTATCTCAAAGGCGGCTCGAGCGCAGCGCAGGCAAGAATCGCATATGTTTTTGGGATAGCAATCTTCTTTAGAAATCTCGTAGGGAGTGCATTGAGTGATCATATCGGCGATGGAGATCCCTAGTCCTGGAGCGTTGTCGAATATGTCGATCATAGCAGGTGACGTTCCCAGGCAAGCGCGACAGATTTGACTAAAATTAAATGCAGAAAGTGGGTTTTTACAAAGGATATTGACACTGGTGTATTTTGATTAACTTACACTTCCATGATTTTAATAGTGAGGTTTTTTTTGTACTTGTATTAAGAGTTATACGTGGATATATACTCATAAACTTGGTACAGTTTTAATACACAACGCAGAATGTCTACAATATGATCAAAATTTTTCGTCCTTGCGGATTAGAGGTGGTGAAAAATCGATGATTTGGCGACTATCGATTACAACTATTATACAAAAGAAAGGCCAGGAAATTGCCGCTGCCCGCTGTTTTTAAATTTTCCGCGCAATCACACTTAAAAAAAAGTCTTATTTGACGGGAAAAATGCGGGATTGGCATCACTGGACATTGAGTGTGTTTTTAAATATTAAGTTGGTATTTAATTTACTTTAATATTATTCACGTAAAAAACCTTTTAAAGTTGTCTTAATAAAGATGTAGAACAATGTGCCAAACATTGTTGACGAAAGAGTTTTCAGAATTTACAAAATGGTAGTTGAATTTGGTAAAAGCTTAAGAAGCTTTGCTGAACTACATATGTATAATTTGAAATTACAAAGTATTCTTGTGCCACTTCGGGGTTCTTAAACAGGCTACGAACAAGTTTAAACGTTAAAAATTTAGATCCCTTAGATGAAATAGTAATTTAGTTAAATTTTTTTTATTATATCAATAATTATATTGTTTACATAAGAAATGAGTCAAACGAAAATATATAAGCACGCAATTAATTTTAATACAAATATAATAAAGCATTGTACTAATATGTATCAACTCGAGTGGCATACACCTTGACATCCGATCGCCACTTCTTCATCATTGCCGATCGCATTTGAAACATATAGACGCCATTCGGAATTGGAATCTCCTTAATTGTGTTCTCATCGATGGAAAAGCCGTTGAATATTAGGTCTTGCTAAAGGATTTTTCTTAAAGTTAAAGGGACAATCAATAAAACCCAAATCTTTTCTTACCTGCAGCGGGCAGGTAACATTCAAATTCGAAATCCTCAACATGGGGGCCATCAGGAAGCCAAAAAGTCCATTTGCCATCAATTGCCTGCTAAAGAGACAGTAGTCCAAAGTCTCGTTCAAGAATTGGAAACGTCTATTTTTTGATACTTTAAAAACTGCCAGATTAAGCTAGAATTTACCTAATTATTTTTAAAATCCAGTAAATGCTTTAATTAGCGAACTTACGATGATATCATCGATTGGCTGTTTGTAGAGCATCACCTCATTGATGTACAGGGCAGCTCGGCCATTTTCCCTGCGAACCACTTTGCAGGTCTTGAAATAGGTGAACGAAGGATCTAGGGTTCGGCACTCCATCTTGCTGATTTTGAAAACTTTCCCCTGGCTGGAACCCAAAATGGCTAAAACGGATAGAAGTAGGCTCCAAAGGTGACCTTTCATGTTGCCTCATCGATGGGAATTATTGAACTATTATTGTTTGGCTTCAGATGTTGAGCTATTTAACGGCTGGTTTGCTTTCGACTGATTGAAACGGATATTGGTTTGCATTTTAGGCCCGCTTAATTTCGGGTTTTTATTTTAATAACCCTTAATAACTAGCCACGCAGACCGTAGACATTGACCCGCAATCGCCAGGCATTAAAGGCACCAACAGACACAGACAGTTTGTATTCTCCTTCGGGCAGAGGCAGCTCCCGTACGGCCCGCTCATTGAATGTCATCTTCTTTATATAAATGTCCTTTTCCTAGACACAAAATGTGATAATTATATATTTACAAATAAAGCTATACCCACAGGATAGGGACACGTGTGATTGGCATTGGTGGCGGACATTAAGGACTCGTGGAATATGTAGAAAAGCGGATATTGCTCTGGTCTTCGCATATAGTAGCAAAAGTCCAGGGTATGATTCACCATAAACAATCTGTACACATTCGACTTGCGAAATATAGCCAGATTAAACTGAATCTTATCGATGGGCGGTCCATATTTGATCACCAGATGGGAGTTCATGCCGACGACATTGCGGCGAACCATCTTCAAATAGCACTCCTTCACCTCCACGAAATTCGCATCCAAGCTTTTGCACTCTACGTTGGTGAACCGGAAGTGGGCTGCTCCCAGACAGGGACACAGAGCAGTCAGGAGCAGGGGGAAAATATCCAATAATCTCATGCTGAATGTTCAGGTTAAAGTGACAATTTCCAGTTTATTTCCAGTGTTCAACTCTCGGACATTATAACTCAATCAAGCTCACTGATGACCGCCCAAGTAATTAGCTTAACTTTATAATGTAATTAGTGTGCATTTGTTATATCCACTGCCACAGTGATCCAAAAAAGTATTTCAAATATATATTTCAATATTACTTTTATTTTTGGTTAATTTTTTTTCATATAAACTTTTGTGGATATACGCCAGGTCTTGTAAGAAGCATATAGAATTTTTAACATATAATCTCCACTTGGCAGGGGCAGGTCCAACAAGTCGTTTTGGTCATAAGTAAAATCATCCACTCTTAAATCATGCTGAAAAGATACAATATAAAATATTGATAGTTGAGTTTACCAAAAGGTACTCACATCAAAGGGACACGAATGATTCATGTTGGTTTTTTTAAACAAAACCTTGTGCAGCATATAAATCAATGGATGTGCCTGCGGATTTCGCATGTAGTAACAGTAATCCACAGTCTGATTGAAGAGGAAAGGCCGATATCCGTTTGATCTCTTGAAGAGGGATACATTTACATCCACACTATTGATGGGTAGTTTGTGGAGTTTCACCAACATATAGAAAGAGGCCACGCCTCGCCGAACTACTTTCATTTCGCAACGCTTGAACTCCGCATAAGAGGCATCCAAGGACTCGCAAATCACATTCTGCAACACGAATCCTCCATGAACGAGCCTGGGCCAAAGGAACACCCAGATAACTCCAACGATGAGGCCAGTACGCATGTTTCCGATTGAATAAATCGATTGAAATTTTGGTAAAACAAAAGCTTTAAAGACTCTAATTATAAACGATTTATCATGGCTATTCAACCTTAAAAGCAGTCTTAACTGGTATATACCGAATATTAATTTCGCTTTATACAAAAATGTTGCAATGTTTAAGGTATTTAAATAAATTATAATATAAATATTAACTTTTAAAATATATGCAATTTTCTATCACCACAGATTTATCTGTGGGAATTTCCATTGCAATAAAGAGGATAACAGTTTAAATTTGTTATTTTTAAAGGTTAATACAATTAATATAAACTGGGCGGATAAGTCGAGTCCTCAAGAGACTTTACTTTAAAAACTGAAAACTGTAGCACAGGTTATTGTTTAACTTCAGCTTTATCTCCATTTTTGATTGTGTCTAAAAAGCGTAACCAAATGCTAGTTGATTTTGCACTATTATTTCCAATCAAATATAGGTATATATCTAATTATTATAAATATATGTATGTACACAGCAAACAAAATAAATAATATGTAATAATGCTAAACCCCATTTAAATTTGTAAAATTAAAATAAAATATATTGTTTTTTATATAAAGGTAGAGAATAGTTAAACCTAAAATCTTTCGCTTTGAGAGCTTAATACAAATTTATTGATAAGATAATAAGTGAATTATTTTTTTATATAATCGCGTACCAATAAATGTTGTATAAGTAAGCTTTACAGATACTTTAAAATATATATCCTATTCGAAAGAGGCTATCCCCGGCATCCTAGCCGCAATTCCTTCTCTCTTGGTTGCCATAGTTTGCAACAAATTCCTTGGTGCAACCTCACATGACAACTCCACAGGGCATTGGGCGGAGAAAGTTTTGCAATAAAATGCACGCAGAATGCCACAACGAAACGAGAAAGCTGCAAAACAATGTGCATTAGGTTGATGCGTGTTGCCTGGAATGTGACCGACAGACCGACCAACCGCCCCTGGGTTTTCGGGTCAATTTCGGGGGAAACCCCCCCGAAACACACAAGTTTCCAAACTGCGACTATTTTCCCCTACTTGGAAGTCGAATTTACCGCCAACTAGCCACCATTTTGCATTGCTAACTAAATTTGTTTTATTGTCTCTCTCCGGCTGTCGGCTGCTGCACTTGGTAAGCGACCTTGTTGCTTGTGGCTGCCAGGTTAATCAGGAAAACTTTTAATTAGACAAATTATATAACTTTGCCCCGGGCATCGTTAAACTTTGAGTCGCGCCAAGTTTATTATTCATAACGGAACCGGAAGCCACAGCAGCAAGGGTCGAGCTTACCTGAGCCTTAACTGCCTTAACCTCAGTTATTTATTTTAATAAAGCCACAAGCGGCAGGCACAAACTTTGGCCATTTCGACGGCGATTGCGACGGGGGAGAAACTGCAGCTGCCTCATTATTAATCATTATTGCCTCTGGCCCCGGCAATTTGTCGTAATGATTACAGAAACCCTTAATACTCTTACCAAGCTCTGGCCAGCACAGTCCGTCCGGAAGAAAAGTTGCCACTTAACTGCTCTCTTGGCCTTTAGTCGGTCAAGTGATGCATTGGAATGGAATTGGTAACCATTTTTGGAAAATTACAATGGGTAGCACGGGGAGAAATGCGATTTTCTGTAAAGAATATATTATGTTAGAATTTTTTGTTAAGCTATAAAGTCAGATATTTAAGTTTTTTGATGGATTATAAGAATAAGAAATTAAGTTTAAAAGTGTACTATATTATTGCCATGTTTTTTGGTAGACTTTTTATATTTTCTTAAGTTTATTATACGACTTTATTTATATTTTAAAAATTTGATTAGGCTTCCTGGAATTTTTCTCTTAGGAAATAATATTTATTTGCAAAATTGCTCGACAAAATGTTCTTATTATAATGTTAAAAAATAATAAGAGACTATATAAACCCTTTAGATTTCATTTTTATAAAATCAGTATAGTTTTTCTTATATTTTCTAAATAAATAATAAACATATATTAAGTTTCTTAAGTAATTTTCTATTGTTTCTTTTATTTAAAGTTAGCAGCATATATTGCTTCTTCAGCATCAACACATAAAATAAATATTTATATATCCAAAATCCATCTAAAAAATTGATAATTTTCTTGCAGTGCCCTTAGTCCTGCGGCAGAGATTTGTTGTTTTGACAATTTGCCTGGTGATTGCCTCGGCAATTGTTCCACAAGTTCGTTGTTCGATGCTCGATGCCTCCGTAAATTGACTTGTGTGGGCTTAAGGGGATTACAACTAGGTCGGGACACACAAACACATGTATCGAATGAAAAATGCCCGTGCCAATGGATTCGAAACTCATGTTTCCAATTCTAGAATACGGTCATAATTTTCATTTCATACACATACGCACACACGCAGATCCATATGTATGTGCAATGCGGCGTATACGCGATGCGCCATAAATTATGTCGCAACTATTTTTGCTGGTGGACGGCAGGGCCAAATGTGCCAATAAATAACTCGATATGCCTGTCAAAAATCGGGCGACAGGATGGCCAAAAACCCAACCAACTTCAACCGGAAACGGATATACAATTTCAGTAATTTTCGTGAGTGACCAAGTCGAACCCTGAAAGAGGAAATTGCCAACAAAAAAAGGGAAAAAGAAAGGAAAAACCAACCCAGGAAACTTCTGGCATTGAAAAGCTTAGGCAGTTGATGATCAGCAGGGCCAACTATTCCTTTTTGCCTTTCTTTTTGTATTTGTTTTTATTGGCGTGAAAAATGTAATAATGCTCTGTGTGTGTGTATTTTGGGCAGGCCAACAGCAAAAATTTGTGCTCTACTTTATGAGTGTGTGGGGAGCATCATGTGTGGCGTATGTTTTTGCTTTTCGTTTTAGGCTCCTCTAGCCCGAGGTATGTAGTTTTCCCTATCTGAGCCACTGAGTTAGGCGGAACTTGATGAAGTTATGTGCGGCTCACACAGCTCGGGGCTTTCACTGCTTTATAGCCGCTTTTCCTTCATGTTTTTCCCTGAGACATGGCAGCTTAGCGAAGACAATGTTTTGCCAGCCAGAATGGTTTACTTTAGGGACGTGTTTTTGATACTTTTTGGAGGGGGTGTTGTTGGTACAGGTTGAAGTTTTTAAAATAACAGAGGGAATGAATGTGTTAAATATTTTTTGCTGTCAAAGTATAAAATAATTATATATTTACTTGAATTAATTTAAATATTATATTCTTTTAAACAGGGAATATAGTAACATTAACATTGGTACTTTTTGAAAGTTCTGTCTTGTTAAATTAAATTAAATAAGAATATTAATTTTTATAAGGGAAAATCATAAGAAAAACTGTTTGCTAATATTGATTTTGTCAACTACTTTGTTATGTCAGCGTAAATTATTTAAATTTTAGGATATCATTTTACTTTATCCTTTAAGCCCTATAGAAGAGCATTTGTGTCTCGTATAAGCCTTTGATTTTGGACCCTTGCCAATGGCAGAAACACATTCTCCTCTTTTTTTCTCTCGACTTCCTTAAGTGTGTGTTTGCTGGCCGTGTGAAAATGCGCCTAAGGTCAGGGTCAAGTGTCCGAGCAGGAACCGTACAAGCAATTTCGCTTATTTGAAAGCTTTCGAAGGACTCTCACTCCCCGCCAGCCACTGACCATTTAGTTTTGCCTTAGCGCGACCATGGCCATCAATCTCATTCGTTTTGGGACAATACCATATTGCTGTTGGCACAACATTTGCCTGGGCACCAAGTTTTATTTCTTTTTTGGCAACTGTTCCGTTTCGATTTGGTATATTCTGATTTTATTTCACTTTTGCCACAGACACACACACCCTTTTTTCAATTATTTTTCATCTCTGGCAAAAGTCACTAAACAATTTTGTTGTTGATACGCTTCTGTCTCCATTTATATATATTTTTGTAGGGTTTTTGCTAAAAGTTTCGTTACCATTTGAATTTTTAGAGGGGGTCTGATCGAGGGGACGTGCAACGAGTTGCAAAATCGAATTTATTGTAGTCGATTGGAGCTGTCTCTGCAATGGGGAGATGGTTTTGGGTGGCAGCAGAGTGCAATTTTTGATTTGGCAAATATGTTTTGAGGGTTTTTTGCAGTCAGTTGCTGGTTTTTCACTGATTGAATTGCCATGTCCAGGCGAAGTATAGATAAGGGTGTCCAAAAATATACAAACCCATATTCTTTTTTGGCTTAATCTCCTTGTTGTGTATATATTTTTTTACGTATATTTTTCCTGCCGCCTGTTAACTTTGTTAATTTGTTTTCCAGACACTCACGCGTTTCGGCCTCTATTGTTGTTCTTTGGGCCACTTAAACGTGTTCCATAACACACACATATAAATGTGCGGTTCGTTGTCCTGGCAGCCTAACATGTGGTCCTTGATTGTGTTTTTTCCTTCCCTTTGCCCCCCCCAACTGCCAGAACAATTATTTTTTCTGGCTTTTACATCCATATTTTCCGAGTGCTGGAGGGTGCTCGTGCCGAAGAGTATATATATTTGTTCGTCTGAGCATGTTAATTGAGGCATTTTTGATGGTGATTAGAGTGAAGGGCCATAAAAAAATCAGCCAGATTCCCATTTAGATATGGCTAACAGAATGCAATAAACATTCATTTGAGTGGGGGCTAGCTCTATTGCTTGAGTTTCAAGTAGTTTTTTGAGTGGAAAGTATGAAATCGGTACTCGAACATCTTTCATTGACAACAAGTGTCCTGACAAGCTCTCCTAGTTGCTATATATATATCTATATCTGTGTCTGGCTAGCAGCTGCGGCAAGTGTTGCCAATATATATATATTTATAGATATATATTTGACAAGCATATGAAGCACTTGACAACGGGCAAACAAACATGACAGACAGACTCTGGGAGTGGGAAGGATGTGCAGGCAGCATCTCAAGACGGCTTAGAGAGGTGGGCTTTGGGTGGCTAGTAAGGAAACATGGCACCATTAGAAATTGACTCTCAATATATCGAATTG